AGTGATACATTGAATAAAGAGTGTCTTTGGTTCAGCTTTGCTCGTATACTGCAGAATGATTTAGACCATGTCAAAGATCACTGGAATACTCATTACATCCGAGCATCCAGACATGATACAGTCCAGGGAAGGCCAGACTCATTGTATTTCCTGCCAGAACGTCATGATGGTGTAGAAGATTTATGTGTACCTGAAGACGAGGTGAGCTATGCCAAGACCCAGATAGTTGAAGCTGATGGACAACACAGACCTATCAGAACCAAATAACTGGCATGACGCACTGCCATTATACAACGTGTTACTGAATGCGCAAAGCATGGCTGTTAAATGACATTTAATTCTGACAGATGCATGTCAGAGGTATAGCTTTTGAACAGCATTCATTAAAACAAAATGGCAACTAGTCAGCCATTTTGAATCAGATCGGAAAAATAAAATCCTGTGATTCAAATGATACGTAAAATTCAACAATTCATTGCATGAATATAATTAACATGTAAAACTTTATGTACTGTACACAACCCAACTATCCTTATAGAATCATAAATTATGACTTGTAACATCTGGTGTTCATGAAGCAGTTCCTGTGCACTTATTTTATTGCCCAAAAAATGTTTTATTTCAGTCAAATTTGAACTCATGACAACTATACTATACTGTGTTGAGTTTATAGTGTAACCATAAAGGAGGACAGTTTACCAATATCTTAAAAACTATACATAAAACACTTTACAAAATTGAACTTGCCCAGGATCCAAAACTTGGTAATGAAATATCCTTGGATTGAAAGAGATAGATTAAAACATTTTCAGTTTTTGTAGCCACAAAAAAAAGTACTATGTGCTGAGCCATCTATTTAAAGATAAATAATCAAGGCATGATATAGATACAGGAATTTACAAATTAAAATTAATTAAATGAAATTAAAACTACAATTCCATATACATCTTGTTGAATCATACATTGCAAACCTATTCTGGATATGTTGAATTAGGCCGATGAACAAAAATTCTGTGTTTCCGGTAACCCTACCTACCCATATTTTTGGTAAAATCAGAAAGTTTATTTTATGCAAATTAGCTGCAAAAATTTTATTTTTATGCAAATTAGTTAAATTTTATCACATTTAGCAGTCACAACTATTCTGTGTTCGAAAATTTCCTCATATGATTTTCTAAAAATGACCAAAAGTTGATAGTTGATTCCATCATGTGAAAAATAATTGTGTAAAATACACCAATGTTAACAGAAGATTTTGGGGAAAAAATAAATAAAAAGTAAAATTAAAATCCCTACCTACCTACCCAATATTATTTTATCCCATTACTGGAAACACAGATTTTTTTCTTGGCTTTAATTCAGTTATGTATGCAAATGAGGTCATTACATATTTTTGACATTGATTCCTGTAAAGTTCTAAATTATGCAAATTATAGTAAATAGTCAGGTTTAAACACCTCCTATATTGAATTTGAAGAGTGCTCAAGTAGAAATTAAATTACACCAGACAAACAGACAGAGACGGAGACCGACAGACAGACAGACAGATGGGCAGACAGACAGCACAGACAGAGACGGAGACAAACAGGACAGACAGAGACAAAGACAAACAGGACAGGACTAGACAGGACCAGACGAACGGACCAGACAGATGGACTAGACAGGACAGGACACGACAGGACCAAGCCAGACAGGTCATGTCAGGACAGGACCAGACGAACGGACCAGACAGGACAGGACTAGACAGAACCAGACAGGACATGACCAGACGGAACCAGACAGACGGACTAGACAGGACAGGACAGAACAGGACAGGACCAGACCAGACCAGACCGGACCAGACGAATGGACTAGACAGACCGGACCAGACGGGATAGACAGACAGACGGGACAGATGAACGGATCAGACCAAATTGGAATAGAGTGGATCTGCTCTAACCTGATCTTTGACACATAAAGCATAAATTTAAGTTACTTTATGCATAGCCAAAATGTTTGGCATTAACAATTCCAAACACCATATCCTGAATAAAGTTCTCATAAGACCTATGTACAACAGGCAAATGTAGGATACAGCTGCACGTATTGGGCTTTGGAAATCGAGAGAGCTCACCCTCTGCACCATCTTTGCCTAGCTCTTTATCATGCAGGAACTGAATTTCCTTTAATCCTGTGCTAAACATCAGTATTTGACTTAGTGTTATATTCAGTTCTTCTTCTTCCGCGGCCTGGAGAAAATCAGCAAAATATGCTAATATGTTGCTCTCAAGGTTGTATTTATTCGAGCCAATTTCACTTCTGGTATACAATACAGTCTCTTTGTTTTCAAACATAGCAGCCGTAAGGGGAAGGGCAGCCTCACAGAAAGCAGCTTTGAAACTCCCAGGGTACTGCTGGATTGCTTTGAGAACACCTAGTGTCGATAGTCCATCTCGGAATTGGTCAAATGCTGGTCGGTTCCTTCCATACATATGCTATTTAACTGTGGCAAGAATCATATCTTCCTTGTCTTCTTCTTCCAGGCTAGTATTTTGATTCAATACATCATGCACCTTGTCAAGATCAACATTCTTTAGTTTCAGCAAATCATCTTTAACAGTTGAGTTTTCAGGAAGATCATCTAATGTAGGTTTCACATCCAACAGACCAACCACTAAAGTGTTGAAAAACTGTTCTGAGAAACAGTGAGGGGCTGGACCTCCATGTACACTCGACATTGCTAACATTTGCCCTGCCATATAGTACTCATTCTCATCAACACATTTTGTAATACCAGAAATTGATTTGCTGCCAGTGGCACCATCTAGAAGTTGTGAATTTACAATATGTTCAGTGCAAAGA